TGGAGAGTCAAAGGTTCTAAGTCTTATTAGACATACCTCCAAGTGGAGATACCACCTGGTAGCTTGATATGAGTCTGGATTTCAGTGGCAAGGTCAGAACTAGAAATACGGCATGAAGTTATCCAGATGGAGAAAGCATTTAAACCCATAGATTAGGGGCTGGAGAGACAACGCAGTGAGCTAGAGCAAATGCTTTGCATGTGGGAGGCCCAAGTTTGGCCTCCAGCACTGCACTGTCTCCTGAGCACAGTCCCTGAGCAGAGTCAGGAGCAGCCCCTGAGCACTGCTGGGTGAAGCCCCTAGAAAAACAACAAGCCAAGAATCCATAGTTGAAATCCATAGGAAGAAATATTTTTTTTGTACTTCTCCTAAATATCCTTGAAGACGTTTCCCCTATAACAAATGCTTTTTTTTTTTTTTTTTTTTTTTTTTGCATTTTGGGTCACACCCAGCAATGCACAGGGGTTACTCCTGGCTCATGCACTCAGAAATTACTCCTGGTGGTGCTCAGGGGACCATATGGGATGCTGGGAATCGAACCTGGTTTAGCTGCGTGCAAAGCAAACGTTGTGCTATCACTCTAGCCCCAACAAATTCCAGAAGTGAAACCCTCTGAACTTTGTCTTCTGAACTTTCATGGGGTTCTAACCTCCCTGGATCTGTTCCTTACTCCACAAATACATGAGTACTAGTTCATTTCATAATATCCTATCAAACAACTTATATATTCAAATCTTCTTAAAAGCATCTTCCTCTAGCCTGGTTTTCCCCTAATGATGTGCCTTCTTGCTTCAGGGAAAGCTATATTTGTTTTGGGGGTACTCCTGGTGGTGCATAAGGGGGCTACATCTGGCTAAGTGCTAAGTTGTTGTTCCTGGTGGTGCTTGGGGGACCATGCAGTATGTGTGTGGTGTGGAATTAAGCCCAGACCACCCACATGCATATACTTAACTCATTTTGCTTGTTGGCACCAAAAGCTATTCTTTTTTATTCCTCTCCCATCACTATCAGAAGGGCCCAGAGGAGAGGTCACTGTTCTCTCCCCTCCCTGCTGCACTATTGGATAGTATTCTCCTTCTCTTGAAGCCTTTGACATCTGCCATTTCGCCCGCCTTCCCAGAAAAGCCTTCTTCATGATTGCTGCCGTGCTGGTTAATATGTCTGGCTTGGGTTTTCTATCTCATCCCCTACCACTATCTCTAGTGATTTAAAAACCGCACAGATCAGATGTCTTATAGTCTCAACCTCAGCAGTTCTCCCCGCACCCCCATCGCCTTTGCTAGCGACTGTTAGGCCCACCTCTTAGCATGCAGGTAGCAGTGGGGTTTGAACTTGCAGCCTCCCAATTGTCAAGCAGGTGCTGAGACATCTGCTGGACTTCACACTGCCAACAGTTTTAGTCTCTTTCCATACTCGGCTTTCGCTAACCTGGAGGAAGTCTGTACTCAAACCTCAGCATCACTGAGGTCTGAATTTTCCCTCATTGATAAGTGCCCATTTCTCACATATACCATCTCCCCATCAACTCAATTCTTAATTCTCACCAAATCTTGCAGGATTTTTATCTATTTGGCTTAACCTGTATAGTTAAAAGTTTCAACTACTTTCAATAGCACTTTTTTTTGAGCCCTCTTTGGTGGTGCTCAGGGCTTACTCCTGGCTCTGCACTCAGAAACAACTCCTGGTGGGCTTGGGGAGCATATGTAGTACTGGGGATTGGGCCTGAATCAGCCATGTGTAAGTAAATCACCCCCCTGTACTCTCTATACTATCACCCTGACCCATTCACTAGCGCTGCAGAATCACTTGCCTAACTAATCATGAAAAACTTGATTTGGGTAAATACAGTGGTCTCTGTTGCGTGTTTCTTCTGAGCCGCTAAGCATTGCAGTTGCCTCTCATCCCCAGAAGCCTCCAAATCCTGGCCACCTACCTCTGAAATCCCTGTGCTCCTTAATCAGTGATTTTAGTACTTCTTCTCTTCACGCATTCTCTTCATTTTAAAACATATTCATGCTATCTGGATGCACATATAAATTTATGCATTTATATAAAAATCCCTTCCTCAAATATCCAATCCATTGCTCACCATTTTCCTTTGTGTGAGGTCTCGAGATGAAAATCCTTAACTAACCACTTTTTTCAGGAACTGGTAAAATTTTCCTCATTTGTAAACTTTGCGGGTTGAACTAGAAATGATTGGTAGCTGTCTTCTGGGTCTGCCATTCTAAGGCTTTGCGGCCACCACCTCCTTTTCCTTACCACCCACTCATTCCTCAACTTATGGAAAGTGATTCTTACCCCTCTGATAAATGGACATCATTTTCTCAAAATCTTGTAACTCTTTAGTTCCTATTTGACCTTTCTGAAGTATCAGATATGGGTTGGAGTTGAATCTGGTCTTAATTTTGACTGCTCAACCAACCTCTCTCTTACGCTCTGCACTCAGGAATTACTCCTGGTGGTGTTCAGGGGACCATATGGGATGCTGGGACTCGAACCCAGGTTGGCCACATGCAAGGCAAACACCCTACCCACTGTGCTATTGCTCCAGCTCCCTAGGCTCCTTCTTCGGATCATTCTTGGGGCTCTCCAATTCAATCACATTCCATTAGAGGTTTGACTGCTTGGGAAGAGATTGATACCCAAATCTTTTCTCTTAGCCCAAAGTTCTCTCAAACTCCAGACCTGCTTGCTGGAAATCCCCACTTGAGTTTGAGCATCTCAAGCCCAGAACTGTTCATTACAATAAGTACCTGGGTAGCTGTTATGTGTAGCTGTCACCTGTATATTTTGCCAAGGTCTGAGGGCAGTGATTTTATTTATACCATTGTCTAACCGAGTGCCTGATCTTATCAGGTGCTTAAAAATAGCAGGGAACCAATATCCAAGGCTGAGCTCCTTCGACTTTCCTCTCAGACAGGCATCTCCTTCTTGGTTCAGGCACAAAATTTGAGTCATTTAAGATGTTTATCCCACTTCCGTGATCTAATCAGTTCTCTTAGCTTTTCCAAGTTGATATGTTCCTAAAATAATAAACTATGTACAGACTTATCTATTTGTATATAATATTTTTGTTCCCAGTTTTGGGACTACTCTGGGCTCAGTCCTGGGGGTTGCCCCCGGCAGTGCTCGGGGTCATTCAGTGCCAGGGGTCAAACCCAGGGCTTCTGTCTGTAAATCATGAGCTCCAGCCCTTTGAGCCATCTCCCTGGCTCCCAATGTTTCTTCCTTTAATACAATTTGGAAAAAGGGACTTAAACAGAAATTTCCATTCTTGGAGTAGTGGGGTGAGGTTAATACTAACTTGACCATTTTTGAGGACATGGTCATCAGCTAGTTAGACTGTTCATAAGCCTTGGTTCCCTCATCCACCACCACCCACCTTCTGGGTCGGTTGTTGGCAAAGAGTAGCGATATCAGGAAAAGGCGGTTAATACATTTTAAGTGTCAAAAAAAAAAAAAAGATGACTCCCCCCCCCCCACACACACACACCTCTGCCCCTTTGCTGTATTCCTGGAGCACTCTCCTGTTTCCCTCTTCAGCTGTCACCAGTGCCACTCTCCTCAGGACAAAGTCCAAATCCCTTACTCTGGTGTTCTTTGGTTCCTTTCTTTGACACATTTACTGATACCTGATGCCTACTTTGAGACATTCTACACACTCTTTTTCTTAACATACTGTTTCCCAAGTTCTACTCAAGCCATCTCACTTATCTGCAGAGCCTTGTTATCCAGCTCTACCCACAGAAATCCTCTCATTCATCAGTGTCAGCTCAAATGCCCCCTGGAATTCACTTCCTTCTTTTCTGCATCCACTGTACCGTATTTGGCATGACTTCAACCAAAATTTAGTATGGGCCTGCCTCCCTTAATAGACTGCAAATATGCAGCTGAGTTTATCTTTGGGCTATACATCTAGTTGTACTATGATGAAAGGGGTCCTTTCCAGACCCTTTTTTGTTTTGTTCTGTGGCCACATCCGGTAGTGCTCAGAGCTCAATTCTGGTGGGCTTAGAATCTGGAAAAAACCCGAGTGCCTGAGAACAGATGACTTGCTAAAGAAATGTTGGTATATCTACACAATGGAATACTATGCAGCTGTTAAAAAAGATGAATCCATGAAATGTGCATGTAAGTGGATCAACATGGAGAGTATCATGCTAAGCGAAATGAGTCAGAAAGAGCGGGACAGATGCAGAATGACTGCACCCATTTGCGGACTACAAAGTAACATAATAGGAGAATAACAAACACCTAAGGATAGTAGAGATAAGGGCCAGGATTGCCCCACAGCTTGGAAGCCAATCTCATGTACTGGGGGAAAAGGCAAGTGGGAGGGGGAAGAGACCACTAAGTAAATGATGGTTGGAGGGATCACTCGTGATGGGAGATGAGTGCTGAAAGTAGACTATGGACCAAACGTGATGGCTGCTTAGTGCCTATATTGCAAACCATAACATCCAAAAGGAGAGTAATAGGGAACGTGCCTGTCACAGAGGCAGGGGGAGGGAAGAGGTGGGAGTGGCAGGAGGGACACTGGGAACATTTGTGGAGAAAGGGCACTGGTGGAGGGAGCGTACTCCGACATTGTTTGATTGAAACGTAATCAGGAAAATTTGTAAGTCTGTAACTGAGTCTCATGGAGATTCACAAAAATAAAAAAAAAAATTCTGGTGGGCTTGGGGGAACATACAGGAGTGTCAGGGATTAAACCCAGGCAGCTGCATGCAAGGAAAACACCGCACCTGCTGTACTATGGCTCAGCCCCTCCCAGTCTTATCCCAAATCCTCCCAACCCAAATCCCCCAGCGGAGCTCTTTTTTTTTATCATTAGTCTCATCCCCAGTCCTGTTTCTCTAACCGAACCCCAAAGTAGCCTATAGAGAACTGACTTCTGATTCCAGTAATAAAGAACATGTAGACTTCACCTTCCCGGTGTTGCATGGTAGGCACTGTGTCACCCCTTGGGGATCCCTAGGCCCCCACCTTGCCCCTACTGTGTCGAACAGGATGCCCATCGCTAGGTCCCAAGGGGTCAGAGGAAGCCAAGGCCTCTGGGGCTCATTATTTTTATCAGCCTATGAAACAGAGACACAGAAGCGGAAACTATGTGGTCAGAGAAAGTGAACAGCCCTCATCTCAGGGGAACCCCCCCCAGAGGGCTGGGGGCCAGACACCAGGAAGAGACGTGGAGGAGGAGGAGGTCTGGGGGAGCAGGGGCAGGTACGGGAGCTTAGTTTGCTTTGCTTTTATATATAACTCCAGAAGCAAAATGACGTGCCTAAGAACCAGAGCGAGCGAGAAGAACTCAGACCTCTTGGTAGCTGAGCAGATGTAGACAGCCCAGTTCTCTACTGCTTACCTTTCAACACCCCCACTGCCGGAGAGACCCTCACCCCCGGGACCTCAAACCCGGGCTCTTTGCATGCCACTTCCGAAATCTCCAGCCTGTGAGAGGAACTGGACGCCTGGGTTGCTCACAGTCCTTACTTAGCCTCTGCTCTGAATCACGGCAGCTTCCTCTCACAAGATCTTTCTCACCAGCCCTTCCTCCTCCTGCCCCCGGACATCTGCCTGAGCCTGGGAAGGCCCAGACTGATCTCCTGGCTCTGGCTTCTTTGAGGGTTTCACGACTGCCCCATGCTCCTATCCCAGGGGCTTCTCCTTCCTATCTTGTGTGTCCATTCCTGGGCTTTTCCTCAGTAGATAAAGGCTGCAAATCTAAAAAATAAGTTTCTGATGCATGAGATTCTCTGATGTAGACATGTGCCAACTGAGCACACGCCGGCACACGCCTGGATTCTCCTTTCGGCCCTGCCCTTTCTTGTCACCAAGTTCCTTGCTGCGTGTCAGGACGATAGTGGGGTTTGGTACTGTCTGTAACTTCCTATTCCAGTTCCAGAGAGTTGGGGTGAGAACTTAGTTTGGTTACTGGGGGGATGGCATCCCACTCCCTCCTCCGTGGGGATCCCAGACCCTCTCCCTGTCAGGACCTTTTCTCAAGCTCAAGAGAGAAGACACTCATCTGGGGTGCTAGGCCTCGGCTGTCCAGTGAAGCCTGGGTTTGTGGGGTCAGAGTAGGAGCTGGGCTCTGGAACCGAGAGGGGCTGAGCAGCTGGAGGGGAGAGAAGCCTGGGTGCGGATCCTGGTTGCCCAAGAACAGACAATCCAGGTTACATAACTTGGCTCTTTCCTCCTCCGTCCCCTGCTCCTAATTTTAGCAACCAAAATTCCACTCCCCACAGGCCTCTTCCTCCAGCCACTCTGCTGCTATCCCGGTCCTCCCACCACCTGCTCGTGGTCCTCCAGCTCCAGCTGCCCCCAACCCAGGCCATTCAATGACTCAGCAAAGGGAAAGCCCTGAGTGGGGAGGGGGGGATGGGGTGTGAAGTAGGGAGGAGGATGTGGTTCAGCCTGGGGAGGAGAGAAACTGTTTTTCCTTCCCTTTTTTTGGGGGCCTCTGTTCACATTATTTTCTCCAGCTGCTCCTTGGAGACAGGAGCCCCGCACAGGAGAGCCGAGTCAGGTGGGGGCCACGGGGTCTTCCGCTAGCTGATGGTTCAAGGGGTGCGGGGCAAGAAAAGGGCTCATGTCTGCCACCAAGGGCACATGTGAGTGCGTTGTGCGCATGTCACAGCTGTGTAGAGGCTGTGGGTTGTTGCAAGCGGGGAGGAAAAGGAGATGTCATGAGTGATGAAAACCTCAGCGATGGAAAAAGTCAGAGGAGACGCCAGGAGCGAGATGTGGAACCAGGTCTTATTAGGAAATGGCAGAGTCGAGGGGCAGCGCTGGTGCCCTGCCCCCCCACCCCCGCTCCTAGCAAGTTTCGGCCCCACCCCATATCCTCCATATCCTCGGAGCGCAGCTAGCTGCCTCTTCCGATCACCCAAGTCCTGAACTGACCATATTCCTCCTACTGCCCTACCCCTCCGGCCACATCCCTGCAGTTTCTGGCTCTTTCTCTGGGGTCACTTGAGGGCCTCGGCATGGCGATTTAGGGCCTGAGAAAGAGCTGTCACAGCACCCATCACGCGGCCCAGCTCCCAGGTCTCAATCTGGCTTCGGAATCGCTGCAGGAAGCGATCGGGGTGCCAGCGAACCTGCTGGACCCTTAGGTACCTCCTCAGAGCCCCGTGCTCCTCCAAGGGGGGGCCCCTGGCCACCAGGGCCGCAGCCATGGCCTCCGGGTCCCCCCCGCCGGGGCAGGGCCAGGGCACGTCGCCGAAGCGCCAGAGGCTACCCCTCCCCGCGGCCCTGGGCTGCTCGGCCCTGGACCCCGCCCTGGTGGGCTCGGGCCCTCGGTCCCCGGCGGCGGCGGCGGCGGCGGCGGCGGCGGCCTCCTGCGCTTGCGCTCTCCGGGCTCGGCTCTCCCGCAGTTCTTCGTCCTTGGCCCGGGCGCGCTCTCGGAAGAGCCGCTGCTCCTCCTCTTGCTGCCTCCAGCTGTGACTAGAGCCCTCGGCCCGCGGGGGGCGGCAGGCTCCCCCGGCTTCGCGGCGCTGCTGCTGCTGCTGCTGCTGGCGTTTCTGGGCATGTTCCCGGGCCAGGCGTTCCGACCAGGCTGAGAAGGACTCGGGCTCCTGGGCCTCCTGGGCAGCATCATCTGTCGGGAGGACACGGGTGGTGGGGAGAGGCTGAGCCGGGGACCCGCAGAAACGGCAGGGGAGTACGGCGGGGGCGCAGGCGGGGGCATTCATGCGGTGGGTGCAGAGAAGGGGCCCGAGGGAAGGAGGGCAGCCGTGCCCCGAAGCGCGCCCTCACCTTCAAACCTCCCGATGACTTCCTGCCACTCGTCCTCCAGCTCTCCCTGCAGCTTCTGCCTCCACTCCCGCTCCCTGGAGGCTTCATCTTCCTCCTCTTCTTCGGCAGAATCCCAGGGCGGGCCCCAGCCCAGAATCTGCCCCGGAGTCTCCCCTTCCTTATTCTTTATTCCCATGGCCGAGGGGCAGCGGCTGAGCAGAGGCAGGAAGAAGTCCGTGTAGGCTGTTGGCGGGAGAGTGGGATGCAAAAAGTTAGTTGGGGCTCCCCAATCCGCTGGTCACTCATTCCCTTGGTCTGAGAGCGCTGAAAGGGTTGCCCACAGGGGTGCTTCCTGGGTCTAAGGAAATGACCCTCAATAGCGAGTACCTATTGACAGCTAACCACGTGCATGGGAAGTGTGGTCCTTTAAAGTATTCTCACCTGTCACCCCATAAGCTAGTGGAGTAGCCTAGCCTGCCGCCAGCATTGGGAGCAGTATCAAAAACTTTTGATTATGCACTTCATTTTCTTACTCAACATGACATACTGGTATCAGATCTGCAAGTACTCTTTACCCTTATAAAGATATACATAGGGAATATTCACCCCTTATATAATTTTTCAAGGGGCCCAGTAAAATGAATGTTTTTAGGGATTTTTTTTCCTCTCAGTCTTCCTTACTAAAAGGATATTAGAAGAGAAATGGAAAGGTGAAAAGGTGGAGACCAACAATAAATTCGAGTCACAGAAATGTTTCCTGAAGGGGTCGGGGTGATAGTACAGCAAGTAGGTGCTTGTCTTGCACATGGCTGACCCAGGTTTGACTGATCCCTGTCATCGTATATGGTCCCCTGCACACCACCAGGAATAATTCAGTAGTGCACAGCCAGGAGTAAGCCCTGAGCATCGCCAGGGGTGGCCCAAGTCCTCAGCCCAACAGAAAACTGCTCCCTGCAACATAGAGCCAGCATGACTGCTGACTGGGGAAAAGGCCCAGAAACACGGGGTCCCATTTAGGAAGAGCCGATTGGGAGAAATACAACCGACATTCCCAAACCCCCATTTTTCCTGAGTCCTTCACTACATCCGCTTCAGAGTCAGTTGAATTCTTTGCTGCTCACTTCACTGGCAAAGTAGCACCTCCAAGAGCACAGCCACCAAGCACTTTCACACCCGGGACAGAGGCAGGCGACAAAAGCGACAAAAGCGCCCTTCCTGCCCAGGGGCCTACTTTTTCTTTTCCTGGGTTAGGAGGAAATGGGCAAACAGTACTTACTTCTTTTTCTTTTGCTTTTTGGGTCACACCCAGTGGTGCTCAGTTTATTTGACTGTGCTCAGGGAGAACTCCTGGTGGTGCCTGCAGACCATATGTAGTGCCAGGGGTTCAAATCAGGGTCAGCAGAACGAGCACCTAAACCCCTTGTACTATCTCTCAACCCCCCTTAAGTCTTTATTCTATGGTGCTGGAAAGTACTGGCAACCTCAACCTTGCGAAAATGGGCCATAGAAGTGCTCTCCTGTCACTGTGGGGCAGGCAGGGAGGCAGAAAGGGCTGCACACTTGCTGGCTGACACCCCTGCCTCCCGCCTATCTCCTGGCTCATCCCTGTTCAAACATGTCAGGACAAAGGAAGAGGCGCTTCTCTCTTTTATTTTGTGTGTGTGTGTGTGTAGCAGCCACATCTGAATGTGTTCAGGGTTTACTCCTGGCTCTGCACTCAGAGATCACTCCTGGAAGGGCACAGGGGACTGTACTGGGTGCCAGGGATCGAACCCCCATGTGCAAGGCAAGAGCCCTACCGTTGTACAATTTCTCCGGTCCCAAAATGTTTCACTTTAACAGATGTGACCTGTCACAAGCCTTATCAACTTGTGCCACTCAGCAAGTATCTGATCTTGCCTGGTGCTTTCAACTGCTTGTTGCCCATCAAGGTTCATAGCAGGTGTGAGAGTAGATTGGTGTATGGAAAACTTTCAAAATTCAAGTCCTCTAGGGGCTGGAGCGATAGCACGGCAGGTAGGGTGTTTGCCTTGCACGCAGTCGACCCGGGTTCGATTCCCAGCATCCCATGTGGTTCCCCGAACACCACCAGGAGTAATTTCTGAATGCAGAGCCAGGAGTAACCCCTGCGCATTGCTGGGTGTGACACCCCCAAAAAATGTAAGGCCTCCAAATACAAGTGTGATAAGTAAAGCATGGTATAGAATATTAAAGCCTCTAAACAGAGGTCTGGGTGTGGCAAAAACTGACTATAAAAATGCACACAGACTTGACTCGCAACTGTGTAAAAAATAATTTGATTAAAAAACTATTAGTAGACAAAAATTCTGGTTTCTGGGAGGACTATAGGCAGATCCCTCCCAAGCTTATGTAGTTAATATTTTAATGTGAATTTTAAAATCAGAATTAAGAACAAATTTAATCAAAATTAAAATTTTTTTTTTTGCTTTTTGGGTCACACCCAGCAATGAACAGGGCTTACTCCTGGCTCATGCACTCACAAATTAATCCTGGGGTGCTTGGGGGATCATATATCCTATTTTAGCATACATAAATGCCTAGAAAGACTCTTTTTTTCTAGATATTTGAGTGTAGTATATAATTATTTGGCAACTTTTTTGTTTTTTGGCCACACCCAGCAGTGCTCAGGGTTTACTCTGGGCTCTGTGCTCAGAGATCACTGCTGGTAGTGCTGGGAGGTGCCTGGGATTGAATTCTGGTGGGTCAGATGCAAGGCAAGTGCCCTATCCGCTGTACTGTCTTCCTGGTTCCACAACTTACTATTTTTACTTTGTGTCTTTTTAAAAAATTCTTTCCATTGTAGTATACAAGGTCTACCACATTCCTTTCTATGACTGTGTACTGTTCTATTGTACTTATTAAAAAAAAAAATCCCACAATTAATCTCTGAGTTGAGACTTTGTTTCCAAAAACCATCAACCTCACATGTACATCTATGCTGCAGTTAGGGAGATAGCTCAGAGGGCTGGAGTGTATGCTCTGCATGTAGGAACACTGTTCCATCCCTGACACGTCGTGGTCCAAGCACCATACAAGTGGTGCCCCCCCAAAAAAAGATTTTATATGAAGAGATGGCTCGGTGGCTAAGGTGCCTGCTTTGCAAGCATGAGGCTGAATTCAATCACTGGTGCCAAGTGTGATCAGCTCTTGATCAGGTTGAGATCCATGGTACAAGTGATTTTAGTTCCACCACCGCCATGCAAGCATCACAACTAAACGTGTAAACACTACATGTGACTGCACATGTGTGCTTAATTCCCTGCAACATCAACAGATGGAAGGAAAGGCAGGAAATGATTTATTCATGCAATTCTCTTCTCTTCTTTTTCATATACTTTTTGTGTAGTTTCTTTTTTGGTTTTTATTTTGTATCATGCCAGGCGATACTCTGGAGTTACTCCTGGTTCTGCACTCACGAATTACTTCTGAAAAGACCAAATGGGATGCTGAGTATTAAATCTGGTCTGCAGGGCAAACGCCCTACCTGCTGTACTATCTCTCAGGCCCAATGGTGTAGCTTCTTTTTTTGTGGTGCTGGGGATTAAATTTAGGGCCTCACACAAGTGAGGAATGTGCCCTAACACAGTTATACCCCCAACCTTTCTTTATGTATGAGCACACGCCCATGTATGAATAAGTTGTCCGTGTTCTTTGTCTACTTTTCCCCTGGAAATTGTATCTGTAAGTATAAGGGTGGAGGGGCTGGAGCGATAGCACATGCGGGTAGGATGTCTGCCTTGCACGCGGCTGACCCAGGTTCGATTCCCAGCATCCCATATGGTCCCCTGAGCACCGCCAGAAGTAATTTCTGAGTGCATGAGCCAGGAGTAACCCCTGTGCATTGCTGGGTATGACCCAAAAAGCAAAGAAAAAAAAAAGGTATAAGGGTGTTTATATGATATAGATAACAATGCATTGCAATTATTTTTCCCCATCTATCTTATGAAAAATTCTGAGGTTAGAGTAATAGTACAGTGGGTGAGGTGCTTGTCTCACATGCAGCCAATTTGGGTTTGATCTGTGGCATCCCATATGATCCCCTGAGCACCTCTGGGAGTAATTCCTGAGTGCAGAGCCAGGAGTAAGCCCTGAGCACCACTGGGCATGATCCCCAAACAAAACAAAAGTGGCTTTTTATTTTTATATAGTTAAGGGAGTATTAATATTTTCCTTCCTTTTTGCAGTGCTGGGAATCAAACCCAGAGTCTCACATCCAAAGTAAATGCCGTACTGTCAAGTCCCTAGCCCCCACATATTTAATTTTATTGCTTTTGAATTTATTTCACTCTTAGGAGGGTTTTTTCTTGTCTGGAAATACAAAAGTAAAGGCTCCCGTTGTTCGTTGATTTGCTCGAGCGGGCCCAGTAACGTCTCCATTGGAGACTTTGTTGTTACTGTATCTGGCATATCGAATACTCTCGGTAGCTTGCCGGGCTCTCTGAGAGGGGCGGAGGAATCGAACTCGGGTCGGCCATGTTGGCTGCGTGCAAGGCAGACGCCCTACCGCTGTGCTATCAAAAATACAAAAAAATACAAAAAAAATCATTTTTATTTTCCCTACTATACACACACACACACACGCACACACACACACACACACACACACACACACTTGGGGAGGTGGGTGTTTGGGTCACAACCAGTACTGCCTGGGAGCTACCCCTAGTCTGTCCTGCTTGGTGGCTGCCTGGGGGACCATACAGCACCAGGGACTGTACTGCTTGCAAAGCCAGTACTTTAACCCCTGTACTACTTTTCCAGCTCTTTCCTATTTTAAAAAATTAAAAAAGGTACAAATTATGTACAATAAGCATCGCTATTTCCACCAAAGGTTGCCTGGTCCTCCTTCCCCAAATTTAGTCCCCCAGGGGAAGTCCATCCTATGAGTTTTCTGTCACATTTAGGTGCTTAGGTTGTTTTTAGGCCACACGTGGCCAGTGCAGTGCTCAGGCATCTCTCCCTGCAGTGTGTGGAGATGATGTGGTGCTGGGGATTGAACCTTTGCCTCCATATGCAAAGCATGTGCTCCAGCCTTTTGAGCCATCTCCTTGCCTTCTGTAATTTACTTTTCAGTCAGATGTAAAGTAGGACACTGTTTTTCCTGACAAGCCAAATGTTCTAATATGGCTTATTAAATAGTTCATGTCCTACCAGTAATTTGAAATGCCAATTTTTAACATTTTAATTTTATTAATTTTTGTTTTTTGGCTACACCCGACTGT